GTCAAGTGTGTGTTTCCTCCGCTCTGGCAGTCCCGTCTAACGACCGCTCTGACCTCCGTGACTCTCCTCGGGTCACTCCGACCATTGCTCGCCATCGGGTTGGACCCGAGGCGGCCTTCCTCCACGGGTGGGACTCACAAAGGAGAAGGGCTCATCTCCCGCCGCCCCTAGAGGATAGGCGGTATTTGTTCCCGACCTCCGCGTGTCGGGAGTCCAACCAAGGCGCTCGCAGGAAAGCGCTTTCCTGTTCCGATGGCGTTGGAATGAGCTCCCCGGCGTCGGCCACTTGTATTGAGTTCAGCGTCGGGGAGCGACGGAATGCGCGCCCTCCTTGTCCTCAGTGGGGTTTTATGCCGCCATGGGGGGGGGGGGCAGGGGCAGGTTCCCAGTGTCTGCTCATTTCTTAAGCCTCTTTTCGAAGCTCCTCACTGCTTTAATGCAGCTTTTCTGAACGTTTTCAACTAACTGACAGGTTGTCAGCTCAGAGCCAACGGACGGTCATGTGATGAAGGGCAGATGGGTATTGATTAGCAGCTGTCTTATCTCATCCACAGCACTAAACTATAACTAGCGTTTCTCCATCGACCTCAGAAAAAGAAACACCCGTGTTGGTGTTTTTTTGTATTGACGGCCTCAGCTGTCACGTGACCCAGCGGCCAAAGAAAGAAACGCTGACTCGACTACGCCACTTCGTTCTGATGTAGATGTCCTGTTTAGCCATGAGAATGACAGTTCTAAGAAGAGCTAAAGATCAGAGGGAGCAGGACACACTGCAGCGAGGGAAGTAGAAGATGAGGCGGGAAGGAAGAACCAAAGAATGCTGCTGGAGGATGACGGCGGTGGGCGGCTGGGTTTAATGCGAGGCGGGGAGAGCCGGGTGAGACGAAGGCCAGGTGTTAATTGAGCACTCAAGTAACACGTCGATTTGATGTTAACTCGGACACTTTGTACGTATGTGTTAAGAATCCAACCCAGACGGTGGAACCAAACCAACCACAGAGGTGATCAGGTCTCCAGCTAACGGCGCTCTCGGCTGCGATCTCCCCTTCTGGTTGGGGGGAGTCAGGGAGCTCCTATTCAATATGTTCAATGTGAACCCAGAGCTGAAGCTGCAGGCAGAGTGTGTGTGTGTGTGTGTGCGTGTGTGCGCGTGGGGTTCAGTAGGCAGCACAGTGCACCACTAGGGCGTCTTATCTGTGGCTAATTTCAGGGATTACATCAGCGGCACTGAGATGAAAACCTTGTTGAACTGGCCCCTCTGCTTCAGCTCGGCCTCCTCTTATCTGTCTCCCGTTCACCTCCCCCACACTCCCCCCTTTCTTCCTTCTGTGTGTCTGTTTAAATGTTTCATTGAAGAGCTCCTCTCTCCTAACGTCTTAACTCACTGTCTCCTCTCATTCACGTCCGAGGCCTCTTTTATTTATTAGTTCTCTTCTCTCCAGTCCGTCACGTGTCGTCAGAAAGGGGGGGGGGGGGGGATTAACTGACTGGTGTAAGCAGACATTTCATTCATCTCAGCTGGCAACATCTCTGGACGGACGCCGCGCGTCGAGAGGCGTGAACAACAATAACAGCTCAAATATAAATGAAAAGGAGCTACACAAATCTACGCTACACAACAGTCAGATACTCACTATCTTTTGTCTTTTAGTTTTCTGTGTGAGTCAACTTGTAGGCGTGTGTATGAGCTCCTCTCATTAGCTGCTTGTACAGTGTGTGTGTGTGTGTGTGTGTGTGTGTGTGTGTAAGCGTGACACACTGCTACAGCTGACTCTTTAATTAGCCTGGCAGAACTGATTAGCTGTTAGCTGTAGCCCCCCCCCCCCCTCACACACACACACACACACACACACACACAATGCAGTAAGGGAATGCAAATTAGTGTGTGTTGTCCCAGTAACAGGGCCGAGAGACAGAAATGGACAGTACCCCCCCCCAAAGAAATCACTGAGCCACGTCACGCCTTAGTGAGCGACACACACACACACACACACACACACACACACACAGGATGCGCCTGTCTAGTCTGTGCAGACGTGTGTGACCGACCTTCTCTCCTCTTCCTCTCCTCGGTCACCTGACTCGACCGCCGCTCCAGGAAGTGTTTCCTGTGAGACCTGCGTGTTCTTCCGTGTTTGTGTGCGTTTGTGTGCGTTTGGTGTGTGTATCTCTACCTCTTTGCCGCCTCTGAACTTTCTGGTCATGAAGCCACATTGCTGTACTGATCGCTGCGTCGCTCCCCGTTCTCAGCGTAATCTCAGGTGTTAACGGAATTGAGGTGAACACTTCTTCATCTTAAAGTCAGGCAGGCGGGTTTGCAGATGGGATGGATGGAAAAAATGTTTTTAAGTCCAAATATGTGAGGCTGAAAAATGCAATCGAAAAAACAGTCAACATATATTGGGTCAAAAAAATGTTTTGGAAAAATGTCCAAAAATGTAGTTTAAATTTGTTTTTCAAACCATCACGTCAACCTCTTTTGGAATGAAAAGTCCAAATATGTCATGGAAAAAAAAATCTAAATATATTGGATCAAACAATTTAATGGGAAAATGTTTTTAAAATATGTGGTCAAAAGTTTGTACCAAGTTCATGACAAATGTCATGAGAATAAAAAGTATTTAATTATTACCTTTTCTAAATATTCAAGGTCAAAAATGTCATGGGGAAAAATGTTTGGAAAGCCTTTCCTTTGAAATGGTGGTTCTGGTTCTGGTCTCAGCTAAATGAACATGGAATGAATCTTCGTTCCTTCTGGCTTCATGGCGTCATTGGCGACCAACATATGGACCTGACTAAACAAGCTCCGAAGT